TTACTTTTGACCCCTTTGTTCTCGAGCTTAAAGCTGGTCATGTTTACATAACAAATCCAACTGGTGAATCTGTTTGCGCGCAAAAACGACAAGGAAAACTTAAATGGTAAGAGCTTCAAATGCCACAGAAGATTTTGGCAGCTTCCACATTTCGTCGAGAAAGTCTAAATATTCATGGAAACCACAATATGGAAAAATTTTAAACAACACATGTTCCGGTAAAAAAGAAGCTGTTCAAAAATGGTATCGTCGGTCAATTGCGGGAAACTTAAAACTTTTCACATATAGTATTTATGCTTCCTACACAGTAGGCTGGTGTAATTTTTTTTTCAAGGTCGTTCATGGAGGATTAAAAGAAGAGGCTTAATTTTAGGTTGAAAAAATTCACCGTCGTGGCGGTACATCGAAGTAAAAGCTTTTTGTTGAATATTTCTGGTGAAAAGATATCATCAAGGGTGTGCATGGAGGGACTCATCAAAATGAATAACTCTGGTGGAAAAATTGAATCACGCTAAAAATTTGGAGGTGCACAATTAACTGAAAATTTCTGGTGGAAAGTTAGCAACACTATGGTGAATGTAGGAGCAAGGTTTATTTATTTTTTGGTGCATAATTTGCATCGTTCTGATGAATGCAAGCATCATTGAAAATTTATGGTCGAAAATTTGCACCATTCTGGTCCATGAAGAGGCAAAGCCTGAAAATTGCACCAGAAAGGTGCATGGTGAAACAAACTTCATTGACAATTTTTGCTGCACCGTTCTGATGAATGGAGGAGCATGGTTTATTGAAAATTTCTGGTGCAAAATTTGCATTGCTCTGATAAATGAAATGAAAAGAAAATTTCTGGTGGAAAACTTGCACTGGTCTGGTAAATGAAGGCACAAGCTTTATTTAAAATAAGCTATATTAAAAATTCTGGTGCAAAATCTGCACCGTTCTGGTGAACGGATGGGCACGCTTTTCGGAAAATTTTTGGTTTTAAATTTTCATCCTTGTGCTGAATAGAGAAATAAGTTTTAATATTAATTTCTGGTATAAAATTTGCACCATTCTGATGATTGGAGGGAAGCTGCTTTACTAAAAATTTATGATGAAACATTTTAACATCGGGCAAGCTTTATTTGGTGGAAAACCTGCAACATTCTGATGATAGGAGAAACTAGGTATATTGAAAATGTCTGGTGGAAAATGGAAAAAGGAAATCTGCACCAATCAGACGATTGGAGAAACAATCTGCATCGTTCTGGTCAGTTGAAATTTTCTGGTTTAAAATTACATGAGGGCAAGTTTGTATTGAAAATTTCTGGTGTAAGATTTGCAACAATCTTCTGCATGGAGGGGGCAACTGAATTGATAATTCCTGATGTAAAAATTGCACAGTTCTGGTGAATGGAGGGGCAAGCTTTATTGAACATTTTTGGTAGAAAAACTAAGACGTTTTGGTGAATGGACGGACAACTTAAACTTGACTTCCGAGAAGAACCTCAAGGGTATTGAATTCTGTGGACAGATTCCATGAAAATTTTGGGAATAATTTCTAGTGAATCCTGCAGATAGTCCCAAGATATTTCGAAAAGAATACCGAGAGAATCAATTCCGAGGATAATTTCAAGCTCATTTTGAGAAGAATTTCTGGAGAATTCAGTTCCAAGGTGTTCCGAGAAAAAACAGTTCTAAAATATTCCGAGGAGAACCTCAAGGATATTGAATTCTAATGACAGTTCCAAAATATTTCTGGGGAGAATGCAAGGAAAATTATGGGGATAATTTTTAGTAAATCCTGCAGATAGTTCCAAGATAATTTCAAAAAGAATAACGAGTAAATCTTATTTTGAGTTAAATTCCAAAGGAATTTTAAGTAAAATTTCAAGCGAATTTCGAGGTTAATTTCCAGCCCATTCCGGGAAAAATTTCTGAAACTCTAAAAAATTCAGTTCCAGGTGTTCTGAGAAAAAATCATGGGGAGTTCTAAGTATAATTGCAGTGGACTTCTGAAATGAATTTCAAAAGAGCTCTTAGGAGAGTTCTAAAAAAATCCACGAAGAACCTAAAGAATATTGAATTCTGAGGACAGTTCCAAAGAATTTTTGGGGAGTATTCCAAGAAAATTCTGCGATAATTTCTGGTGAATCCTGCAGTTAGTTCCAAGATAATTCCGAAAAGAATACCGAGAAAATTAAATTTTGAGTGAAATTGCAAAGGGATTTTGAGGGAGTATTTCAAGGGAGTACCGCTAATTTCAAGCTTATTTCGGGAATAATTCCTGGATAATCTTGAGGAAACTCTTCTGAAACTCTAAGGGATTTTTAGTTCCAAGGTGCTCTGAGTAAAAGTCCAGAAGAGTTCTAAACATAATTTCAGAGGACTTCTGAGAAGAATTTCAAAAGAGCTCATAGAGTTCTAAAAATTTCAAAAAGAACCTCAAGGAATTCTGAAGTTGGACTTTTTCGAAATTGTACAAAGTTAAAAGACAGCTTTTGGCTTCCCTAATTGAAAAGTGGGAATAAGTTTGTTATTGAACTTATTGTTGGCTTACTTACTTACTTACTTACAATCGTTACATAGTTTTAAACCTTTTTAATGATCCTATTAGCCTTGCCATGTAGGTTAAAATTTGGAAAACAATTAGAACTACAATTTTTGCTGAAAATGACCAAGTTCAACGTACTCGAAACGGTAAAAGTAAAGTGTAACTACAACAGCATGTAAGGGCTTACAAAACCTTGAACTAGTCAAAAATAAACTGTAACGATGCTTTCAAAACATACACAAAAATGTACCGCCCAGTTGATGGCTATCAAAATGACATGATTACGTCGTTGCACAATGTAATGTTGCGGAGCATTGCGAAAACCTTGCGAGCAAAACCAGTGCAATCATTGCAGATGAGACGAGCGATTGTGGCCACCACGAGCAGGTGGTGATTGTCATCAGTTATATTGATAATGATGGGATTAAATTGCCAATTCCATTGGCTGCCTGATAGCAGTTTGCATTGAAGAAGATGAACCACCACCGGAGCAAAAAATAAATAAAATTAGCTAAATTGAACAGTAGGGAAACAGTGGTGGGTGAACAGCACCATCCACCACGCACTTTGGAGTACTCCCCATCCCCAGATTAAATGCACCATAGAAAAAAATTACCCCTCTTAAAACAAGATTCCTGTGCACGCTAGTGAACGAACTATAGCACAAGATTCCTGCAAATAAAATCATACCATTAGTTTCAAATACTAAAAAAAAGATTAAAATCAAACGTGCATCCTCCTGTTGCAGCTGCTCCAGAACTTTTTCCATTTTCACTGAATTTTTTCACACGTTCGACGAGAGAGAACAAATAACTGACTTGTTTTAGACTCCGCTTAGAGAATCGAGTTTCCTTTTAAAATTTCCGTCGCGATGTTGAGCGCAATAGGAACGATTGACGTTTAACACGTTTTAGTGAATATTCGGTTCAGTTTACCGAGTTTCTCGGATTTCACGTATCGAATTCGTAAATGTCGATACTTGACCGTACTTTTCAGTTCAGCCTTCATTTCTTTCGGTCAAATTTATACTATTTTACCGAAATTAGGGTCTGATTTAATGAATACGCCTGAAAAAATCGTTTAAAACCATTTATTCGGTTTCTCGTTGGTAATCGAATAGGTTCGGTAGAAAATTAAACCGAATTCGGCCCGGTGCCAAAAACGAACGGTTTTGTGCTTTTGTACCCAAAATCGAACCGTGCCAAAATCGAACGAGTACTGTATTATATGCAGTTTATATATAACCTCATTTTAAATATTTTATACATTTTCGTTTCTGGAATATGCATAAAATCGAAGCTTCATGTATCGCCATGAACAGGCCTTCCAGAATATCCGGAACATTCGTAAAATTGGCTAATACAGGAAACATATAATTGTAGTGATTGTTGTTTTTATTCAATAAGAATCATAGTAAATGCTACATTAAGTTCGGCCAAATAATTTTCATTACTTTCATAACTTCTGTTATGTTACATTAATTAGCTTTGCTTGCAATTTAACTTCATCGCGCTGATCTTAGGTATTGCATGCCCCTCATTTATAATCGTGAACTAAATCTGCAGTTTTTTTTTTTTTTTTTTTTTTTGAAAATCCGAAACACCAAAACATAATGTTATACAAACAGATTTGCACAGAGTGCTAATAAAGCAGCACCATGAGCCGAAACCGTTGAGATGGTCCATCGTGCCAGTGCAGCTCACTGTTTGGTTTATGAATGATTATGAACGTTGGCGTAGACGGTGACTCTGTAAATCCTTAGCTACAACTATGCAAAGTTTTATGCAACTCGGAAAAGTTCGAGTTGCATTCGGTGTGGAACTGTTCTACTACTACAAGATAGATCCCCACCGCCAACAGTGAATAAATATAGGATAAAATATGTTTTTCAGTTAAACTCCACACCCACAATTGAAAAGGGTTTCTCGAGAATTTCATCGCAAACCAACCAATGCCATTCGATAAAGGAAGTTTTCTCTATCAGATAATGGTGCTAAATTGCGTGAATGTGTTTTTTTTTTCCTTGATTTGTTTTCCGTCGATCTACCGATGCTACCGACGCCAGAGAGGCAGCTCCCATACCTGGACCCTACATATCGACGTATTACTTCCCGTGAATGTGTTTTGATTCTCGAGAAATCCACCCATTCAACCCATTGTTTACAAATGGTTGATCCGCCTTCTTCAATTGTTGATGCAGTATTGTCGTTTAGCACCATCGAAAATGTCTAAGGAGATCTGAACCTTGAGCCAAAACCTGTTACCCGACACTTTAAAACACAATGATCAATATTGATTACCCAAGGCCACATTCACGTTACTCGTCAACTGACTGACTTCTCTTCCTGTATCCGGATTCAAGGACTATTGTCGGCATTTAAATGAGCAAGAAACGTCAGATCTCACCGTAGAGGAATGAATTTATGTATTTGGACTAGACATTTATATCGACGCTGATACCTATATCCTAAAGCATCACAAAACAGTGAAACAGTAACAGCAATCTCGCAACTATCGCAGGCACCATCTCCCTCGCTGCATCGTTCCTACGCTGAGATTGTCTAAGCTTGGCTGACGACCTTCGCCTACCACCTCCGACAGGTTTACGCTTTCTTCTGATCAAATGTGAACTGATCCAATGGTCGGCAAAAGCAACATCCGAGAAAACATCGGGAAGACCAGATTTGCTTCCTCCGGCTGCGTCGACGGCACCGCATTGACCTGCCCCCCAGTAAGCTATTCGTGACACCACTGCAACCTGTTTACCTTCGCATACTAGCGGACTGCCTAGCATGAAGCGTTGTTGTTGCTGTTGTTGCTGGTGCTGCGATTGAAAATCAATTTCTCAGAGTGCAATATGCGAGAGTGTTTATGTAGGAGAAGATAAACTTACATCATTGCATGTGTGGTTTCTACGAGTGTCGTTCTGGTTGTGAGTGTTTATGGCGGTGATTTTCGCACACAGCGCGTCGTCTGTAAAGTAGAATGAATTCGGATAGGCCGTCTCGCACCTTTCTCTGGACCAAAGTTTCGCTTTTGTGTCCATGGAGTTTGACAGAGGATTCAGAATCGTGCACTTGGTTCCTTCCTCCATACCGTAACCGGGTTTAACCAAAGGTACCGGAGCAATGGTTGAGGAAAACTTCAAAGTGGTGCTCAGCTTCAACAGACCCATATCACGTTTTGATAATTCTGCGTTGTATTTTGGGTGCACGTGAGATGATTTCACGCCGAACAAAATTCCTCCTTCGTATAAGCTGGACGACCCCAATCGAACGGTCACGTACGAAACGGTTTTGTTCCTTGAAGTGAAAATGACGAAAATTATCTCAACCTGCAATTAGCCGCAGCCGAAACCGAACTCACATTACACATTCCGCTGCGGTCAGAATCCACGTAGTCTCGACGACCGACCCAGCGCAGAACACAGTTCCCTTGTACTCAATGGCTGCTCTGTATGGAACGATGCGACTCCCTCCCAACCCATCGACACCTGATGAAGATTTGCATTTACAAATCCGATAAACCGTTCCTTCTTATCTATCTACCCGCACGCACACACCTACCATCGAAAGCACCAATAAAAAGTACCATCAGGTACGTTCGAAATTCCATCCGAACCGCAACACAAACCAGCAGCACCGATTTCGAAAACTGTAGCACACTTTTAGCCCCCAGTACCGAACTACCTCCGATGACGACTGCCAGTTCACTTCAAACTTGTTTGCCAAATGGGGTCTCTCCTCTATAGGGTGCATTAGATGCTTGACTGCACTCCGGCAAACAGAGACAGTCGCGTGTGCGAGATGCAGTGCAGATCTCCGTGCTCCCAGCCTCGCACAGGGCTGCTGCCGATTCTCCATAGGCGGTCGGCTGGAACTTCCTTGGCGTGGCCAATTTACGTCACCTACCATAATGAGAGAGCGCGCGTTATCAGCGCGGTTTGAGATAGTTGGGAAGCTGTAGCAGCAGTAGCAGCAGCAGCAGCAGTGGCTGATGGATTTATTTGAATCCTCATTTCCAATGAGTCAGTCATAAATACGTATGCCTACATGTTGGCGGTGACGGCTGTTAAGTTGTCCGGATAGGAAAAGCTGCTGCTGGTTGTTGCTGGTCCGGACCAGAGACGAGCGGACTGGTTTACGGCCTGTCATTAGCTGCCAATGAGGGGGCATGTTCGGTTGTACGCAAATGCATGTAGGATTATCACGGTGTGGTATTTCGAGTAGGAAAACGCAAATGCGCTGATTATGTGATGCTGGTAGGCGAAGAGAGCTGGCGGTAAAACTAGTTGAAAAGTGTTGGGGAAAATGGTGCTTGCATGGATGTTGAACGGCGCCTATTTCAATTGATTGTATTAAGTGTCGGTGAAGTGCTGCTGTTAATGGGGAAGTTCAAGATTATGCTATCATAATATTGCCTAGTGTTTGATTACTTTCTATGATTTATGTCAAAGAAGAAATACATCTCGTGTAACATTACGTTTTCCAACTGTGGGTTCGTTGTTTATGCATTGAAGTCTCCGGTTATTAAAGAAGGCGGACAAAAACTAAATTTGTTGTATACATATTTGGTACAGCCATCCACAAGTCTCTAGTAACCATACACAATTTTTGGTTGGCCGTTAAGTTCACCGTACTGGGGGTGGTGGGCTTGATTATAGCTCCGGTGGAGATCATTTTGAAGTGGTGACCAGGGATGTGGAGTCGGATCTTCTTACGGACTTCGACTCCTGTGATTTTAAAACCACCTAACTCTGTTGCTTATTAAATTTAGGAAAAGATAAGCAGGAAAGTATGTAAAAGATCCAAATGAATGTACAGGGTGAGGCGGATTAACTGTCACACCAAAGCTACCAACGCCGGAGAGGCAGCTCCCACACCTGGACCCTACACACTTAGAAATAATTACTTTTACACGAGATGCAATCCATATTGGACGTAAATCATAGAACGTAAACAAACATTTCATGTACAATTAAGTGTTCTCAAACCAAAACATCAGCTAGTCGACAAAGAGAACGTTTGATTGAATTGATTTTCACGTTTCTTTCAACTGATTCTTATGTCAAAAGGCCCGCTTACATGTGTCGGTCTCAGGGAACCGAAATTTACATGACTTTTTAGTAGTGTGTACCTATTGACCCATCAATTCATGAACCGGGGTCCAACGGCTTTACTTCTCATCCGAAGGAAGGCGTGATCAGAGGTGTTATGCCTCAGAATATCTCGCAACGCCGACTGGGATTGAACCCAGGCCTGCTGGGGTGAGCGGTAATTACGCTTACCACTACACCACCGGCGCCACTTATAACAAAAATTCATGCACAGCAAAAAAATAATTTTGATATCACATCAAAGTGGATGCACTACAATCATGTCGAAAATTTCATGTAATTTTTATGACCACATAAATAAACAAATGCAGTAAAAGCAGCGTAATGTCAGTTCATAGGGTATACGTCCCTAACCTCGGTCTAATATGCAGCCATAGATTACGTTTTTAATCATAACTCATCAATTAATTTACCTGCAAACGATATTCTACTGCTAAATGGTATGCTTAGATATGCTTATCATGTCGTTTGCTATCAGGAACCGCAAAAAGTTGAAAAACTTACTTTTTTTAAGACAAAAACTCACCAGGGAAATGTATGTAATATCGGTCTATTGTCCCCAAATTGGGTCTATTTATGGATGCAACTTCGTCCTATCCTGTTTGATTCTCAAAAAAAACGCTCTTGGTAACGTTTTCTTATGTATTTTTTTTTATCACTATCACTGTTAACTTAATACTCTTCATTCCTCAAAACATTTCTTAGAGAAAATTTTACGAAAACTACATTAAATCACTCAAGTTAAAAATTAAAAATTAAAAATTTCGCTTATCGTCTTTCGACCGCAGAATATCTAAATCAAAACATTGTGATGTTCATTATACAGATTTGGCAGAAAAAATCTCCCTTCCTGTTCGTTCCTTATCATCCAAATGCAAACCACATTGTTGACGTTACTCTTATTGCTATATGCTGTCAAATGAATTTCATGGGCCAAAGTTAGGAACATAGAAAAGAAATGTGTCCCTAAAGTTGGGTCCATGATTTACTTGTGAAAACGTTGTTAAACAATTAAAATAAACATAAAATATTCAAACAGTAACTGTGAGTTTTACGTCTAGTGTGTATTATCAGGTAATTCCATTCAATAAATGCCATAATCAGGCCATTTGATGATCGTCAGTGCAACCTTCCCATCTTAACCTTAGAAGTCATGGCGGCTAAAAACTCCGAACAGAGTGATATTCTCAACCAGTTTTATTACTTACGAGAGCTGAAAATGTATTGAAATGTTGTGATATAAATTGATTTGTGTGTGGTACACATTTATCAATCATCAGTGATCAATATTTTCCTTATTTTTTGTGTAATATTCCTTAATTAATTATTTATTTGCGTGATAGGCCGAATGAAAGGACTAGACCCACATTACATACCGTAACCCTACATTGTATTAATGATAATTTTATCCTTTTTAGCAAGTAATATTACACCATATTTTCGACATGATTGTAGTGCATCCACTTTGACGTGATATCAACATTATTTTTTTGCTGTGTGCGATCTTTATTATGATTTTATGTTATCAGTATATTTCAGATGATGCTGAGTCATTAGGCCGAATAGCCATTAGACCGAAGGTTATTAGGCTGAAGTTAATTAGGCTGAATGTCCATTAGGCCGAATGACCATTAGGCTGAATGTCCATTAGGCCGAATGACCATTAGGCCGAATCTATAAAATTATTTCTCAATACTTAAGGGCCGTTCATATACGACGTACACACTTAGAAAAATTGATGTAAATTTAGGTGCTCTGAGACTGACATATACGAGCGTCAATTTTGACATAAAATTGAGTCATAATAGACGCAAAATTCAGCTCAATCAAACATACTTTCGAACTTTTCAGTCACAGAGCACTTAATTTTACATAATATGTTTGTTTACGTCTCATCCTTTAGGTCAAAGATGGATTCCGTCATGTGAAAGATTAGGTATTTCTAAGTGTATAGGTTGTCTATGGAGGAACAAGAGGGTGGCCAAAAGTCTACGTTAGTCTACGAGAAAGTAGATGGCAAAGTATATGTACACACTTAGAAATTACTATTTTTACACGAGACGTAATTCAGCTTTGACGTAAATCAGGGAACGTAAACAAACATGGCATGTAAAATTAAGTGTCCTGAAACTGAAACATATGCAACTCGACAAAAAGTGAGTTTTAATGAATTGATTTTCTTGTTCTTTTCAACTGATTCTTATGTCAAAAGGGCCGCTTGCATGTGTCGGTCTCAGGGCACTGAAATTTACATGTCTTTTTTGTAGTGTGTAGCTTAAATTTGTTTTACAAAGTTTCTTATTTCTCATAAGCTACAGTTAAAAATCGGTTCAGGTATGTTCAATGGCGTACATTTTTCGATTCCTACCTGAAAAATATGCCAATCGATTTTTATTTCACATCAAAAGCATTTACTCACAAATCTGATTGAGAATGTTTTGCACTTTGACAATAAATACGTTAATATGATTCTTTGTGTTTTGTTCAGTACAGTTGGTAATTGGGCAAAACAAAATCTGTATCACTGGTTGTACAAGCTTACACACTTAGTTTTATTTGTAGAATCTCATCCATTTGTGACGAGATTTGCACAACCGAGTGGTCGGTCAAGGGGTGGTCATTCTACTCACTTATTTTGCGCCAATTTTTTTTCTCAGTGTGCCTCACGTGTGTCGCAGCTGTGCCGGCAGTGCCGAGAGTGTCATCAGACTGAATTTCTTGTTTGTATAATGGTATGTTTGGCAACCTGGTTAATTTGACAGTTCACTTGATTCGTTTTTAAGAAACAAAACAACAAGCAGTGGAATCCTATCCCAGATCCTAACTGTCGTGACTCTCGGTTCGTTGCTTCCAAGTTCTCTCAGAAAAGGACTACACTGAACCTAATAAGCAACGGCCGCGGCCACCGAATCGAAGCTTGGAGCGAGAACATTCTCCGGGGAAGGCACTTCCAATTTCCGACAGGAAAATAATTTCTACTGGATTGGATGATGAGGATTCGGATGAACTACAGGTGTCGGTGGTAAGTAGACGAGGCGAGCGTGCATCATCATAGGAAACTGGTCCAGGTACACTTCAGTTTCTCCCGAAAGCCATCGACTCAGTCAAAGATGCGTCGCCAGCGTTCTAGTGGGTTGGTTTCAACCGGAATCAGACTTCCCTGGTGGAGGTGGGGTTTAATATAACTACCCGATCAGACAGTTCAACGATCGGACAAATGGAGTCTCTGGCGAATTAATAGATGTCAGTTACGATGAGGAACGAATCATGGAAGTTAATGTCGGTTGGCTGATCAACGAAGTGGTGAAGCGTTACGGAATCAAACATGGTAAACGACCATCGATAAAAGCACTAAGGCCAGATGGCGGCCTTTGTATGGACACCGATCCCCTTACGACGTTTCTGTGCTGCTCGGATTCCATAATCAATTCGTACCTCATAGAGTTCGAAAAACTGCGTTCGGATCAGTTCTACGAGAATTATTTCAAACATCACGACG